TCAGTTTTTAAGAAGCGCCTTTGCGAAGCATAGGAGCAGGCACTTTCATTGTGTTTGAAGTCAAGCAAGTGGGGCAGAAGACCAGCTTGGCTGAACAGGGAACTCCTCATGGAGCTCAAGAGGAAAAAGGAATTGTGCGATCTCTGGAAGCAAGGTCAGGCTTCACAGGAAGATTACAGAGCCATGGCTCCCATATGCAGGGAGAACACACAAAAGGCCAAAGCTCATTTAGAGTTGAAACTGGCCAATGTTGTTTTAGATAACAAGAAGGGCTTTTTTAAGTACGTTAATAGCAAGAGGAGGTCTAAAGAAAACATTGGAGAGATACTTGCTGAAGATTAATGGGGATGAAGAAAAAGCAGAGGTGCTCAATGCTTTTTTTGCCTCAGTCTTTAATAATACTGATAGAATGTGGGCTGCCCGGTCCCCTGAGTCAGAGGACCATGAGTGCAGGAACAGTGACTTTCCATTTGTGGACACTGAAATTGTAAGGGACCAGCTGTATCAGCTGAATGTTCACAGGTCCATGGGGCATGGTGGGATTCACCCCAGAGTACTGAAGGAGCTAGCATCTCAGTGTTAAAGAGGCATTTGGACAATGCACTTAATGATACGCTTTAACTTTTGGTCAGCCATGAAGTAGTCAGGCAGTTGGACTACATGATCATTGTAGGTCCCTTCCAACTGAAATATTCTAGTCTATTCGGGTCCTGGGGCTCTCTGGAGGGCAGCAGGGTCCCACCTGGGCCATGGCAAAGCCTGGTGAAAGCCCTGGACCTGTCTGGAAGAAGAGCCTTGTGGTGGGTATGAAAGGTGTATGTAAAATACAGCACATGGCCACCAGTTCATAAAGAACTGAGGGAGGGGGGGGGCGCCCCCCCCCCAGCCAGTGTTGCCTATACTCAGTGTTATCGCACGTGGCCCTGGCCGAACCACTTGCACACATCCATCACAGTACTTGTATGTGAGTGTCAGAGAACCGGTGAATGAAATTCAAGAGAGAATGAGTGTGAATGAAATCAGTTTTGTTTAAAATAAAATCACCTATTCAGTATATCACCCTGAGGTTTGCTGCACAGTCTATGCAAGGGGCGGGAGGGGGGGGGTGGTCTGACACTCTGGTG